GGTTCCCACTGGCGGCGCGTGCCCGTCCCGGCCCCGCAGCTCCCGGGGCGCCTCTCCCACCCGACCCCGTGATTTTTGGGTGGGTTCCTCCAGCAGGCTGCGAGCCCGGGCTGTTTTAGCTCCGTCGTGGCATAAAAGCGCTGCTGATTTCTCACGTACCGCCCCAAACCCCGCCAGTCGGTGCTGCGAGGGGCGCACCCGTGGGACCCGCTGGCTCTGCGTGGGCTGAACCCCTGCTTCTTCACGGAGAAGCGTTCTTTTGCGGGTTGCCACCCCAAATAATGTCTCAGCAATTTTTTTACAGAAAAATTACACGATCCAGTATATAAATGAGTTCTACTATAACGAGATCCTGTTAATTCCACAATAATTTTGCCTTACATGGGCCTTGTTGGAGGAATAAGTGAGTGTCTCGCAGCTGCCCGTGTCGGCGTCCCTACCAGCACGAGCCAGGAAAGTGTTGCTCAGAGCCTTTCACAGGTGAATTGGTGAACGTAGAAACAAAGAGGTTTTTTCCAAGTGTCACCTGGCAAGAACATGGCACGACAAGAAGCTGAGCTTTTGTCGTCTACTTCTCCCCATCTTCTCGCCCATCTTTTCCCCTTTCCTCCATTCCCCCTGTTATCCCCTAATGTCTGGAAAACAGTTTTGTTTGGGTTTTTTTTTAAGGGATCTAGTACCATGACAGGAGTTAATCCTCTGTGAAAGCTTCTGGACTGGATTTTTTTCTTCTTTCATTGTGGATTTAGTATTTTAGTGAAACTCGTTAATTCTTGTGATATGAAGAAAATGTACTGTGGCCTTTCAGACCACAGATTTGTATTCTCTCTTCCTTCCAGAACTGTTTATCTTCTTTTTTTGAACACGCATCCAGTAACTTATTTTTTCACCCAAAGCTTAGGCTCAAAGGTTTTAAGAGGCGAGGTGTGCAAACCCAGCCTAGTTCACCTGACTGTCCCAGGCTTCAAGCCCAGGCATGGCCAAGGAAGTTGGGCCACGTTGTGCCCATGTTGCCAGGTGACCATCGTGTTGATCAGGAGCATTCAACCGTGCTTGATTATATCTAGCACTTGAAGCAGAAAAGGAACGTAAAATAGTTACACAGGCTTGCAAAGTTTTTTTGGGCCGCCTGGCTTATTTTAATAAGGGAGTATTCTGGGTTTTGTTGTTATCATGATAAAAACTGGGCAAATAGATTTTCTTCATGCATGGACCGATAAATTTTCATGACAATTTTGCATATCCAGCTAGGGACATTTTATGGTTTGGAAGCCTTCCTCTTTATTTCTTACAAGTTTGTCTTTATAGCTTGTATTTCTCTTTTTTTGCTAGCCATCAGAACCTGCTGAGCTGTTTCGCCTTTTGCTGCTTTCTAGAATAAGCCTTCTCACTTAGACATATACTTCGTTACAGTTTCTATGTGTGTGGATACTTTGGTTGTTTGATGCCAGTCAACGAAATCCTTCTACTTTGCTGCTTCATACCCTATTAACCTCACAAACACATCTATTTTGAATCACGGGCATTGAGTTTTATATCCTTAGCTCCCCTCTTTCGTGGTTTGAGACTGAGTTGTGAACCCAAATCTTAGGTCATTTTCCTTGGTTTGCCCTAGGTCTCGAAGCAGCCTCACGTGCTGCTCCTAGTGGTAAATTAAACTTCACACGGGAAGGCATATGTTGCTGAGCACTTTGGTGTAGCGTGGTTTGCACCTGGGAAGACAATCCCCATCTTGTACATTCAGGAAGATGTTGTCATCACATCTGTTATTAGGCAACCTAAAGAATGTGTTATATCCTGAGTGACAAAACCCCAGTGGCCTCAGGAAGGTGGTCTTCAGAGGATTTAAGGAGTCCACTGAATGTGGATTACTTAAGGATTTCAAAGCTTCGAGAGTGCAAATAAAATTAAGACGTCATTGGCTAATGATTCCCTTTTGTTTGTTTGTCATCTAGATGAAAAAGGATTTTGATCTGAAACATCTCATACCTTGCTATCAGTAGATTCTTTTAAACACTGCATCGCTTTATCCTTTCCTAGTGTACTCTGACAGAGATTTTTCAGCTGTATAACTCATTGAAATCACCGAGATGCTGCCCTTGCGTTTTAATCAGGATGAACTTGAAAGGTGAACATTGTAAGTGGTAGAAATTATTTATAATTTGGTGATAAAAGTTTATGTCTAACACTCCAAATTTCATACATCTGCTATGTGCTGGCCTTGAGATATAGAACAACTGCAATTGCCTTTACATTTGGCCTTAGATGAAAGGTCGTAAATTACAATGATAGAGTTCGTAGTTGTTCCGAGCTCACAAAATTTCCATATTAACATCTTCACCTCAAACATAAATGGTTACAAAGTTACAAAGAAAAGAGTTGTGTTGGCCTTTGTCAACCGAACTAATGATGGAAGTCGGTGGATCGTGTACTATTGCTAACTCTTAAGCATAAAGCATCGCAGAATCCTTGTTCAGAGGACCTAATTAAAACTTTACAGTTAACTTTAAAAATGAAATGGGATTTGACAGTCTCTTTCGCTCTCTCTCTTTAATGCAATAAAACCCACTTCAAAGTTAGGAAGGTTTTTCTCTCCCAGCTACTTGAAATAAAAGCATTTCCATAGAGCGAGGTGGCTATATAACACAGAAATGTGTTAAAAGGAGTGTCCAATTTTTCTATTTCTTGTGAAGTGAGCACCATTTATGTAAGTTAAATGCAGAAGAACAACAATCCAGATGACAAAAGAATGTCTGTGGCAGATTTTGCATTCAGCCTAAATAATCCCTAGCTACAACCAGTAGATGAAAAGAAGAAGACATATTAAATAGTCCTTACCTGAAAACTGTGTCAGAGAGGACAAACCCATTCCGGCCACAATCGCACGATTTTAACAGTCAATGTCGGTACCTTCTTAGATTAGAAAGAAATGAAAAAAAAAAAAATTTTTTTTTTAAATTTGATTTGAGAATTATGCAATAAAATAAGAGACCAAGAACGAGTTCCAAATCCAGGGAAAATTTTCTTGTTCAGAGCCTCTAAGAGTGTGGGGGTAGAAGGAAATCTCAGCCTCCATGAAACAGTGTCGAGGTGGAGAAGCTCTGCATTTCAAGATTAGCTCTGTTATTGCAGGGTTTCCTCAGGGCCCTGAAGTAAGCACGATGTTACACTTCTGGAGTTTAAGAGGTGGAAGGTGAGGTTCTGCTTTTATATCCTTAGCTCCCCTCTTTCGTGGTTTGAGACTGAGTTGTGAACCCAAATCTTAGGTCATTTTCCTTGGTTTGCCCTAGGTCTCGAAGCAGCCTCACGTGCTGCTCCTAGTGGTAAATTAAACTTCACACGGGAAGGCATATGTTGCTGAGCACTTTGGTGTAGCGTGGTTTGCACCTGGGAAGACAATCCCCATCTTGTACATTCAGGAAGATGTTGTCATCACATCTGTTATTAGGCAACCTAAAGAATGTGTTATATCCTGAGTGACAAAACCCCAGTGGCCTCAGGAAGGTGGTCTTCAGAGGATTTAAGGAGTCCACTGAATGTGGATTACTTAAGGATTTCAAAGCTTCGAGAGTGCAAATAAAATTAAGACGTCATTGGCTAATGATTCCCTTTTGTTTGTTTGTCATCTAGATGAAAAAGGATTTTGATCTGAAACATCTCATACCTTGCTATCAGTAGATT